AGATTACATATACACGTCTCGTGAGATTACACGTTACAGTTCAGGTATTGGGGAGACACCTTTTGCACATGTGAAATTACAGACAGGAGCCACAGTATCCAGGTGGGTGGTCCCACAGGCCTTGCCCAGAAGGGATTCTCCTCCATCAGAGAATCATTCCTCTGCTGGGTTGACATCTGAACACTATTTGTCACCTGCTGCAACTTTCACGGCCTCCAATGTCTATCAACGGACTGAACCTTTCAAAGACTTTCCCAAGGCCTGAGGTTGGCAGAACACTGGCCTGCTCTTATCCTGAGACAGGTGCTCCATACACCACACAGGGACGTGTCACCCGTGTGTTTCAGTTTCTTTTGCTGCAGTCACTAAATGTGGTTGTACAAGAGATGCTGTGTGTCCAAGGCGCTGTCTTTCCAAGCAGATGCCCTTTATTTTCCTTTGCAAAGACTAACTTCATTAAGAGCTGGTAGCCTTCTTTCTGGGAAGGACTGGGTCTGATGCTCAGCAATGGGCAGAAAAAAAGGGTCCTCTGCCATGCCAAGCTTTTATAGTTTACAAGTTCATAAATTATAAGAATCTATACAATTGAAGAATTTGAAATGACATAGGAAATTTTTAATATTTTTAAGATGTTAGAAAAATTTCAAAACAAAAAGAAATCCCCCCATTTCTGTGTCTTGCTGGTTGGCTTAAGATAAGGGTTCAGGATTTTCAAGAGTGTCCATTATTCTTCAGAAGTTAAATCTTCCTTGCCTAACTTCTCTATTTCTCTCTTTTTACTTTGTAAAAATGTAGTCTAAAAAAAAAAGTCCAGCACTTGGGAGGCAGAGGCAGGCGGATCTCTGTGAGTTCCAGGCCAGCCTGGTCTACAGAACGAGTTCCAGGACAGCCTCCAAAACAATACAGAGAAACCCTGTCTCAAAAAACAAAACAAAAAAATTATATATTTTCATTTTACATGCATTGGTATTTTACCTGCCTGCATGTCTGTGTGAGTGCATCAGATCCCCTGGAACTGGAGTTACAGACAGTTGTGAGCTGCCATGTGGGTGTTGGGAATTGAACCTGGGTCCTTTGGAAGAGCAGTCAGTGCTCCTAACCACTGAGCAATCTCTCCATCCCCCATCAGTCACTTAAATCCTTTTTGTTTTTTTATTCCTTTATGATTAAAATTATTTTGCTGTACTTTTGCTGTTGTGTTTCTTAGCTCTTGAATCCTTCTAGTTCAACTTCCATTTGTGATTTTTCTTTTATTTTAATATCTTCCCTAAATTCTATCACATAACTATTGAGTTTTTGTACCACTCATTGGTATGATTCTTCCACATCACATATGTTAGTTAATTTTATTCTGTCTTGGGGGCGGTTGGGTTATAGATTCACATGTCTTGTGTTTATTTTCTGAATTGCTGCTTGCCTGAAGGGGATACCCATCCCTGTTTGTTTTCGCTGGCCGAGGAGTTAGTTACACCTGTTGTTACCTGACCGAGAGCCTGTAATAATTTCTGAGCAAAACCTCACTCAATACAACATCTTACAAGATGGTTTTACTACTGGCAAGGAAACCAGGGCTTAGACGGCAGCTACGGATGGTTGTGGGTGCCACTTCAGGGGACTAACTTCTCAGTTCCTGAGTGACAGCTGCGGTGAGCTTCAAGCATCCCTGAATGTGGGTGGTCTCTCTAGGTGTGTGTGTGTGTGTGTGTGTGTGTGTGTGTGTGTGTGTGTGTGTGTGTGTGTGTGTGGTATCAGCCTCCTCTATTTGGGTAATAACGCTCCCAGCCCCGCCTACAGTCTCTAGGTGTGTGTGGGGGGTATCAGCCTCCTCTATTTCAGCAATAACGCTCCCGCCTACAGTCTGTTCTTCACCCTGTGGGCTTTCAGCCTTTCAACACTTTGTCAATATTCCACATTTCGTATTTCTCTGAATTAGATATCAAACATCGCTCTGAATGGTCATTTTATGATATACGTAGTTTCTTTTGTCCTATTCATTATTTTGTCCATTTAATAAGCATTGCTGGACTTTTACTAATATGGCAAGCACCTTGGAAACAATAAGAAGCGGGGCAAAGTCCCTGCTTTTGTGAGGGCGAGGAGCCAGTAGGAAGTCGGGCAAAAGGAGAAGATGATTACTTACAGAAGATGACTCAAGAATATGATAAACATGGGCACGGTGTCCCAGGCCAGCAACCCTAGCCCTGAGGCAGCTGAGGCAGGAGGACTATGAGTTGAAGGGCAGTCTGGACTAACAGCAAGACCCTGCCTCAAAAGCCCAAACCAAGTAAGCAACATGGGAAAATCTATAAGCAGTAAAAGCGGCTTGACCAAGATGTCCTCTTGCCTGTGTGAACTGAGTCAGGGTGTGAAGTCAGGTGTCGCTGGGCTGGTGTGGCTGTTTTAGACACCCATTTCCTTTAAGAGCAGTGGTTTGTATCTTCTGCAGTATCCTCTTCCTGGGCAGCAATATGGCGCTGGTGTGCATGTGCACTCCCGTCCAGGCAGGCAAATGGAGGAAGGGGTTAAGAGGTGAAGACCGAGGACTGAGTCACTTAGCTTCGTCTCCGGGAAGCTGCCCTGAGCCACTGTGTTTGATTGTAGCATTGGCCTGAACTCAATCCCTTGGCCACACACGCAAGCACAGGATGGGTGGAAGTTCTCTATATCAACCGCTTAAAGTTGGGATTCTACAATTGAAGACAGGGGGAGGGTACTGAAGTAGACACCTGGCAGTCTGTGCTGCAGAAGGGAACCTCCAGCGTCCTGGAACCTGAGGTGTGCTTGTGGAAACTTATTTAGACTGATATAAGCACACACACTCACACTCACACGCGCACACACACACACACACGCGCGTGCACGTGCGCACACACGCACGCATGCACGCACCCACGCACGCAAAGCTATTTATTGGTCACTCCCTCCAACTCTGTCCCCTACTGCACACCACACTGAGTAGTGAATCGGTGTGGAGGCGGAGAATTCAGTTTCACATTTTAACTCCTGATTCCAACCATGGGTTAATCCACTGATGGATGGATAATTTAGTGGCAGTGTGGGGGCGCAGTAGAAATTAGGAGGAGAACTGGCTAACGGAAGTAGGTCGCTGAAGACCCATCTTGTTCCCATCCCATCTTTCTGCTTCCCAGCCCCTTTGAGGAGAGCAGCTTCCCTCCCACCATATGCTCTCCTCACTCCCACAATGCTCTCTGCTTCACCACGCCTGAACGGATGGAGTCATCTGACCATAGACACTGCAGACCAGATGCTCTCTTTCTCTCCCTTAAATCTTTTTCTGATTTATGTAAATTGATTCTTTAAAAGTTTTCTCCATGGCTGTTTCAGAAAGAAGGTTTCTCCTTGGCAGAGACGGGATCAACCAAATATAGTTCCAGTTTGTCTTCAGTGCTTCAGGTGTGATTGACATTAATGTAGTTTTGGAATGTAAGATAATCTTAAATAAGCCAAGAAGCCAAACAGTTCAGAGCATCCTTGTGTCCTCTCAGTAGCCTATGAGTTTCCTCGGTGTCAGCAAAGCGTCGTGTCTCCTGACTTCCCTCCCCTTCTAGAGTATTGAATGCAGTTGGCTATAAAAACATGTGCACAGTGCTCACCCAGGGCTTTCAACTGAGGCCAAAAGCAACCAGAGAGGGGAAAGGGGAACTTGAATTAGTGAGAAGCTGTGTGTGTGTGTGCGTGTGCACGCGCGTGTGTGCATGCACGTGCACATTTGCACATGCGCGTGTGGAGGCCAGAGGTAAACTTTGTGTGGCGTGCCTCAGGCCCCTTCCACCTGGCTCCTCTCATTAGCTGGCAGAGTAGGCTGGGCTCACTGTGTTGTTAAAATTCTGAGTCCCTACACACTGCCAGTGAGCCCAGAGATCTCCCCATCCCCTCCTGCCCAGCACTGGTGTTATAAATTCCCACCTGGGCTCAGCTTTTCACCTGGGGCTGGGGTTTGAATTTATGTCTTCACGCTCGCATAGCAAGACCTTCCAAGTCCACGGCGCTCTTTCTTCTGATTGGAACAGTTGTTTCATGTATTCCAGACTAGTCTCAAGCTCCCTATCTAAGGATGACTTTGAGCTTTTTATCCTCCTGCCTCAATTTCCTGAGTGCTGGGGGATCACAGGCATATGCCACCGTGCCATGTTTTTTGGGGTGCTGTAGATCAACTAGGGCTTGGTGCACGTTAGGAAAGCATTCTACTAACTCAACCACAGCCCCACCTTCAATGGTTATCTTTTTTTAGCATAGTATTTACATCTTCACCCCATCAACAGGATGTTGTGTTTTTATCCTCTTTTACACTTGAAGAAACAGAGGCACAAAGAGGATCAAGATACTGCACTTAACTAGTGTTACAGCTAGAGCTAAAAGCAAAATGCACCTTTCTTAGCAATAAACCCAGTTTTTATTTTAAAAAACGATCTCATTGAATTACTGAGTATTAAAAAGAGGGCTGCAGTATCCCTCGATTTCACTTTTTAGAAAGGTGGCATTCTGAAAAAAAAATCACATTTTCTGTTATTTCTAATGTAGACTATCCTTACTCACTCCCAGTGGCTAGCACAGCTTACTTTAAAACAAAAAAGGAAGGAAGGGAGAGAGGGAGGAAGGAAGGTAGGAAGGAATGAGGGAGGAAAGAATGAGAAAGGAAAGGGAAAGGAAGAAAACAAAAGAAGGAAGGATAGAAAGGAAGGAAGAAAGGAAAGAAGGAAGAAAGAAAATTGGAGAGATGGCTCAGAGTTCAAGAGCACTGGCTGCTCTTCTAGAGGTCCTGAGTTTAATTCCCAGCAACCACATAGTGGTTCACAATCAACTATAATGAGATCCGGTGCCCTTTTCTGGCCTGCGGGCAGAACACTGTATAAATAAATCTTAGAGAAAAAAAGAAAAAAGAAAAAAAGGACTACAGTTCCCAGAATGCATCACGTTACATCTCGAGCCTGTTACTTTGGAACTCCAAATTCCAGAATGCAACGCTCCTCCTCCCTTAGGTTCTCAGGGGTCGTCGAGACTACAGTTCCCAGCATGCAGCACCGCCGCCCTTTGATTTTGGCGCCCCGATGGAACCTGCTTCGGAAGGACGTCTTGGATTCCAGAGGACAATTCCTCAAGTCTCAACCACCGTGGGGAAATGTGGCTGTGAGGCAGTTCTGGCCTGCCGAGCCTGTTCAGAAGCAGCCGTGGGAAGAGGGTCTGGCGGCCGTTCAGGGCCCTGCTCAGGCAGTATTTCGGGCAGCCCCAGCTGGGTCCTCCCGGGGCCTTCCTGCCTTTGAACAGTGGTGGCGGGCGTGCACTCTGTCCCCGGCACGCTTGAGAGTAGGGGCCGCCTTCTCCATGGCCACCGCTGCGAGTGGGCCCTGCGTCGGCGGGGCGCGGGACATCCTTTGGCGCGTGAGTTAGCGCGCGGTGACGCTCACTGCCTCCCTGTGGCTGGGCGGGCAGGCTCTGGCCGTGCGGTGCGCTGGACTGGACGGGGCCTGTCTTCGGGCGGCTTAGGGATCGCGCGTGGGGACCTGACCCCCTGAGGGTTGGATGCCAGGGTGCAGCGGGAGTTAGGTTTGGGGCGTTGATCTGGAGTCTCCGAAGTGGAAGTTGGTCAGCGCGAGTGGGATGAGTGCATTGGAAATTTGGACAGGGTAGGAAAGATGTAGCGCAAAATGTTAGCGATTCGAGCCGCTACGTGATAAGTGCCTTGATCCCTTGGGTTGCGAAATGGCAAGCGGTGCCCGGTGTTAAAAGATTGTGGTGTGGCCACAGCAGACGCTGGGGTTGGGAAGAACCTAGCCGAGCGTAAATCCCTGGTCTAGGATTACTCCTGCATTGATTCTATGTATGGGCGCAAAGAGAATAAAAGTAAAGATTGTTTTTTGAATAGTGTTTCTACCTGCATGTACTCTAATCCTCTCAGGCTGAAGATAAAAAATGTCTGGGTCTGTTTGTTAACTACCCGTTACCACTAGTCACACTAAGTCCTGTAGAATTTATTCTTTTTTTTCTCTTATTCCGTGTACATGTGTGTGTGTTAGTGAGCACGTGTGTGCACTCAGAACAAGAAAGAAGATGATTTCACTTTAAATACACTTGCTGTTTCACTTGATTCTGGATGCAATGCCAGCATCGGTTCCCTGACAATACAGGGTTCTGTAGTGGCATGTGACAATACGGATAGCGGCAACCGTCGGCTTTATATGTAACTGCGTGGACTATGATTTGGATGTAAATAGTGGTTAACGCTAGTGGCCTATATAAAAAGGCAGGATTTGCATAGCTAAGTGAATGTAACTGACTTGAGGAGTTCTGTTCAATTTTAGGTTTTGGGTTGGAGGATAGTTAGAAGTATCATTTGGTCCGTGTTGCTTCTACCCGTCTGTACCACAGCCTTTATAATCTTCAGCAGCATTGATTTATTCCATCCTATACAGTGGCTGTCAGGTAAGTGGTAATTTCCAGTTACTGTCTGGATATTGACAAAGTCAAAACATTCACTGAGATAAGATAAAGGCACTGCCTGTATAACATAAGCTGCCATTTTGTTTATAAAAATCAGGAAGTGTGTTAGAGATTTTTGTGATGACAGAACAGAAAGATCATTAGAAGATTACATAAACAGCTAGTGTACACCTCTAGGCCCAGTGCTACTTAGGAGGCAGAGGTGGTACCATCTGAGTTCAAGGCCAGCCTGGGACATACAGTGAGAAAAAGAAAAAGACACCACACAAATAAAAACTGTCCTTTTGTCTTTTCCTTTAAAAATGTATTTTTTGTTTTTTACGTATAAATATTTTGCCTGTTATGGATCCTCTGAAGCTATAGTTGCAGATGGTTGTGAGCCACATTGTGGGTCTTGGGAACTGAACCCAGGTCCTTGAAAGAGCAGCAAGCCATTTCTCCAGCCCCATTTCCCCTTTTTTTTACTTTTGACAAATTTGTTGATTCTTATCTTTTAAAGAATAAGAGTACTGTCCCTGTCATCTATTTACATTTGTAGATAGAAGCTGACCTATATTCTTAAAAAAAAAAAGTCTAAACTAGGTTAGGGGCACTTTTTGTGTTTTTTTGTTTGTTTGTTTTTTGAGACAGGGTTTCTCTGTGTAACAGTCCTGGCTGTCCTGGAGCTCACTTTGTAGACCAGGCTGGCCTTGAACTTACAGAGATCCACCTGCCTCTGCCTCCTGAGTGCAGGAATTAAGGCATGCACCATCACCACCTAGCTAGTGGCACATTCTTTTTTTATTAATTTATCTATTTATTTTGTTTTTTTGAGACAGGGTTTCTCCCTGGCTTTGGAGGTTGTCCTGGAACTAGCTCTGTAGACCAGGCTGGTCTTGAACTCACAGAGATCTGTCTGCCTCTGCCTTCCTAGTGCTGGGATTAAAGTGTGCGCCACCAACACCTGGCTTAGTGGCACATTCTTGTAGCCCAACTCTTAGGAGGGTGTAGCAGGAGGTACTGGAGTTCCAGGCAGCCTGGGATACATACAGAGACAACATTTCAACAGCAGTAAGTAAAAAGCAGAAGCTGTCTAAGATAACAGAGGCCACGAAGAATGGCAGGGAAGACTTAGGAAAAGTCTGCTGAGGAAGAAAAGATGGAAGCAGGCGGAAATGTTGGAATCTTGGGATGTAAAAGAAAAGTGTACGTTCAGGAGCTGGAAAGGTGGCTGAGTGGGTAAGGTGCCTGCTGCTCAAGCGGGAGGGCCTAAGTTAGGTTCCAGCCCACACACAAAGCCAGGTGTGTGACATGCATCGTGACCCGCGTTGTCTAGCCAGCTGGTGAGAGACCTCCGGCCAAAACATAAGATGAGAGCAACAGAGGAAGAAACCTAGTGTCAACCTCCGGCCTTCACAGATGCACGCATGAGCAAGCACACTCACACAAACATAATTTAAAACCATCAGTGAGCTCATTGAGGTGGAGCTATTGGCTTTATCAGTTGTAGCCACTGCTGTGTGCCAGGCCCTCAGTACCTTAGGTATATTACCTCTTTGCTATAATGTCACATAATGAGGTATTGTTGTATGTGGTTTGTAAATATAAACCTAAGATTCAGGTTAAAATGATCTGTTCAGCATCCAGCTGGTAAGTGTCTGAAGTATGTCTTCAAATTTATTTTCCCGCAGTGGCATAATAATAGATAATTTTTTAAAAAATTTAAGCTAGGCAGTGATGGTGCATGCACGCCTTTAATCCCAGCACTTGAGAGGCAGAGACAGACGTGGATCTCTGTGAGTTCCAGGCCAGCCTGGTCTACAGAGTTACTGCCAGGACTGTTTCACACAGAAACCCTATTGTGGGGAGAAGAAAAAAAAAGAAACTGCCAGTAATCAAGGAGTTAGAATGTTGTATTGTTTGGCCTTTGGAAGCATTGCTGCTAATTGATAGAGTCATGCTTTTGTTGATGTGTCTTTGCTAAGTCAACAGGACTGATGAAATTAACCCATAAGCAGTACAGAGATGGCAGCTAATTAATTGTGGAGGCTTAGGAACTACTGCAATTAATTTTGGTCTCTGAATTCTACTTTGAAAAATAATTGCTTTCATTATTAAGTGAGTCTGTTCAGCTAACATGCCCGTGTTACTTTTGTTCATATTTTTAGATAGTAACACACATAGTTTAAACTTGGAAGCATGTTGGTTGTTGAGTTGCTCTGAAATGTGAGTGTTTTGGTTTTCATGGGGACATCACTGGTTTTTGTTATTTAGACCAGCCCTTTAGATGACTTTTAAATTATACCATTTCCCTGTTACTTTGACTTTAGCTATAGGCACTAATTGCATTACTAAGTAGAGTTTAAAAATACTGTTTACATTTTGAAAGAAACTTGGTATGTTGCTATGGTAGCTTACACATGATGAAATGTTTGCATATGGTTGTATTTTCTGTTACTAACATCTGTGTTATTTAAAAGAAATTCTAATACCATTTTCCAGTACCCAGAACAAAGTCTAAAAAACTCACTTTGGAGTTTCTGTGTTGATGTCCTATTGTCAGCAGTATAAAAAAAAAGAAGAAAGAAAGAAAAGAAAACGCAGACTTTTTAAAAGTTAGAACTACAGTTGTAGGATCTGCTGAGAAGGCTCAGTGGTTAAGGGTACTTTCTGTGCAATCATGGGGCCCAGGATTGGATCCCAATACTCACAGACGAAACCAGGTGTCCCACAGATGCCTATAACTTCAGCTCCGAGGGACCCAATGTCCTTTCCGCCATGTGGTGTATACACAGATACATATATATTCACTCAGACATTTGTACACACGCATAAATTTAAAAACGCTAGTTGTATTTCGAACTTGTGTTGTATACAGTGTGCTGACACAATTGTGAGACTGAATAGGCTTCACTAATTATTTCTCTTGTGTTTTAGACTCTTTCAATGACTTATGTGGCTCTCATGTAATCTTCTACTTTCTGCTGCTGTCGGTGGTAATTATAATAATAAGTGTTTTCAATGTGGAATTCTATACAGGTAGGTCTCTAATTTGTTTATTTATTGTTTTTTTTTTTGAGACAGGATTTTTCTGTATTGCTTTGGAGGCTGTCTTGGAACTTGCTCTGTAGACCAGACTGGCCTCGAACACACGAGAGATCCGCCTGCCTCTATCTCTTGAGTGCTGGGATTAAAGGCGTGTACCACCACTGCCCAGCGACATTTCCAAATTTTAATATTTTTAAAAGTTTGGGCATCAGGGGTGTGGAACCTGCTTACAGTCCTAGCACTAACTAGGTTTGAAGGAGGGTCACCACAATTTCAAGGCCAGTTTTGGCCTTGTAGTGAGTTAGATAGTTAGCCTAGGTTAGATGGCTAGACGTTGTCTCAAATCAACAAAAATAATGTATTCTACCCAGGGCAGAATTTCAAAAATGTGTGCATAGTCATATTCTGTTATTCCTTCAGTGTGGTACTTACTATTATTTTGATGTTTCTCTTCTGAAGATACATTTAGACTTTTTATGGTAGACATTCTATGGTCTTCTTACAGAAGTAGGGTATACAGACTAGTCAGTCATAAAGACGGAGTGGAATAGTGACGTCAGGAGCTGCAGGCCACTGGGTAAGGGTTGTCGGGAGGATGGAAGGGTCGGGAGGTGGTGCTGGGCTGCTTGCAGCAGTGTGGATGTCCTCATGTCTCAGCACTGTGCATTTAAGAAGTGCACATTTTATTTTATATTTTACCACAGTGAAAAAAAGTAACTCTATTAGTAGTTCACAGCTGTTGTTAAAGCTGTGAGTTAGCAAATGAATTATGAAATAATTCCTTGTAGGGTAGGGTCCAAATCTGGGCTGACCTCAAATTTGTAATCCTCTGCCTCTGCCTGGATACTGAGATTGCAAGCATATGTCACTGACTTTGTGAGGTTCCCCCCCAAATAGCAAAGTGTAAGGTTTTATAATATTTAGCTTTTAAAAATTGGGCCTTGCCTTGGAAGAATTATTCCTTTCTTGCCTTTTCAGACTCCTGAGTTTGTCACTTAAGGTTTTTCTGATTATTTGTTTGTTTTATGACATCTTTCCTCTCCTTTTAGCTTTTTAGTATTAAAAAAAGTTCCATGTTTTTAAATTTTTTTTAATTTAAAAAATTTAAAATTTTTATTTATTTATTTTTTGTTTTTTTGAGACAGGGTTTCTCTGGGTAGCTTTGGAGGCTGCCCTGGAACTTGCTCTGTAGACCAGGCTGGCCTCGAACTCAGAGATCCGCCTGCCTCTGCCTCCCGAGTGCTGGGATTAAAGGTGTGTGCCACCAATGCCCGGCCCACTTTTTTTTTTTTAAGTGTGTAAAACTTTAAGTCCTGACTGGATATTATAACGTATTGTATTTCTTTGCTTTTGTAGCACTTTCTTGTGGGTGGGTCTCTGTCCTAACCCTGCTCAGGGCTCCTTGACTTGTGCCCTGTGTTCTTTCCCTCTACCGTGCTCCTGGGCCATCTTCTATATGTAGATAGGCCAGGTGAGGGCGCTCAAGTTAGTATGTTTTATTTTATTTTTGGTGGTGCTTTGAGACCAGATTTCTCTCTGTAGCCCCAGCTGTTCTGGAGCTTGCTCTGCAGACCAAGCTGGCTTCAAACTCAGAGATCTGCCTGCCTCTGCCTCCTGAGTGCTGGAATCAGAGGCGTTTTTAAAACCTCACTGGTCATGTTGGCTTGTATGTGTGTACTGTGTACCAAGTATGGTGCACCCCCTGCTTGCTCCAGAGCATCTGTGAAGTGTATTTGCTGATAGGCATGAGGGAGTGCAGGGGCCACCTTTGACCCAGCGTGGGGCAGCCTAGAGGAGCTGATGGCTGAACCATCTGTATTAAGCAGATGAAGAAGAGATTTTCAGAGAAGAAATCATTTCCTAGGGAGGAGATGGGGATTGAAAGAATATTGAATGACATGGCAGGGTTTGTTCCATGAGGAAGTCCAATACATAGTTGGCTGTCAGGGCAGTGTTAGTGGGAAGAGGAGGCGATGGCAGCGTCCTCCCTAAAATGCCAAGTGCTTGAGCCTCCCTTCCCGCTTCATTTCTTGTCCATGTGGCATCTCTTTTCTTCGTGTGTGCCAAAAGAAGATTATTGCATGTCTGTGTCAGGCAGCCTAGACATAAATATTCTTTACTCTATTCCCACAGTTGTGTGTGTGAAATACCTGTATAGAAAGAAGTTCGTATACAGGCTTAGTGAGTAAAGGAGAGGGCTAGCTCTAACCTCCACATGGGTCTCCCTACAAATAAATTACCTGTAATAACCGTACAAGTATTTAATATTCATTATTGTGATCTTTGCCTTTGTGGCTTATTTTCACAGATGGACTCTAGTGAGTTTCAAATGCTGAAATAAAGGCAATTCGGAGCTGTTTTGTTTCTTGTTTTTTTCCAGACAGGGTTTCTCTGTGGCTTTGGAGCTTGTCCTAGCACTCGCTCTGTAGACCAGGCTGGCCTCAAACTCACAGAGATCCACCTGCCTCTGCCTCCTGAGTGCTGGGATTAAAGGCGTGAGCCACCACGCCTGGCCATTATTTCAGGTTTTTAAAGCTAGAGTTGCTCTAGGAGGTTTCTGTGTGGATTCCTGTTGATGGGGTGTTTGTAGTGAGGGCTGTCGGCTCCTCCAGCGTCGGGTGCGGTTATGAAGCCTGGTGCTGTGCTTTCTTACAGTTGTGCCCTCCATCCCCGGCTCCCGGCTGGCCCTGCTAGGCAGGGTCCTTCACCCTCAGCAGCTCATGCACTCCTTCATACATGCCGCGATGGGGATGGTAGTGGCATGGTGTGCGGCCATCATCACCAAGGGCCAGTACGGTTTTCTCGTGGTTCCCTGTGCTGGAACCAAGAGGTAAAGTAAATGTTTGTCTTTTCCTTCTTTCTAGAAGCCATGTTAACCTACCAAGTCAAAGGAGAGCTGTGGAGATCAGTAATACAGCACTTTGCTTTCCTGGCTTTCACAGAAGTTCCTGTTTCTATGTGTTAAGTGTTAGTGATACTTTATGTTCAAGGAAATTAACAAAATTTTAAAGATATTTGTATATGGAAGGCGCTGTGTAACAAGTGCTGTTAGGTTTCTGGAAGTGATTCAGGGAAAGTCTTAACTGCTTGAGAGTTGAGAATGACAGGCAGATACAGGTATAATAGAGAAAAGGAAAGAAGATTCTCGTCAGTCAGGTATGGTGCTCCCTAATTTAGAGGCCAGTGCTCTCCAGGTCTGGTATCTTTCCAGGAACTTAAAGACAGCGTTCAGAGGTCCTGAGTGGGGTGTCAGTTAGAGACATGAGTAGCACAGAGCTCCATTAGGTACCTGCAGGTTATTTGTCCTTGTTCAGATGAAGTCAGCTTGCCTTGTAAGCAGCATGACTATTGTACACATTCTTACCTCAGATTTCCAAGGAAACAGCAATAGTAAGGATCTTGTGCGTCAGGTAAAAATGCTTTGTTAATCTTTTGCTCCTGTTTACCTAAAGTGAGTCATTTTGTTAGAACTGGGGCATTTCTTAAGTGATTAACTTGGAATTTTGTCTTCTGGCAAGTAGCCTTAAAACAATGATAATGTGTTTTTGACTGTTGAATTAATAGCTTGATTTTTCTCCTCAGCTTAGATAACCCTGCTGCCCAAACCTGCATGAATGAATATCATCTGTTTTTCCTACTGGCTGGGGCATTCATGGGCTATAGCTATAGTCTTCTTTATTTCATTAACAACATGAATTATCTTCCGTTTCCCATTATACAGGTAAGATATAATTTGAGCTTTTCTTTAGCTATAATATTAACATTGCCATATCTATACAAATGGCTAACCTCATCTGATTAGGTCAAGATGTGATCAGGAAACTGGAATTTGATTATAGGTGGTAAAATCTCCTGACTGCCAAGTTTAGGTCCCATGAGAGTGCAGTAGTGCAGGTGTCTAATCTTTGTTCTCCTGAGAACCTCCCGAAACTCAGAGGGCAGTTAGCCTGGGGGTATGGGGTGAAGAACAGCACACAGAGATTGTCCTCTCCCTCCACAGACTCCCCCCCACCTCCCCCTCTCCCTCTCTCGCACATTCTTTCATACTGCAGTCTTCAAAAGGCAATTTAGAAGACATTTGTGCCCTTGACACTTCAGTGTGTTGAGAGGCAAAAGTACTTGGGATACAAATCTGATGATCTGCACTCAGTCTCTGGATCCCACAGTGGACCAACTCTCAAAATTGTTCTCTCACCTCCAGTTGTGAGTTTTGATATGTCAGCTTGTGGACAATCAGACACACACACACACACACACACATATACACACACACGCACGCACGTTAAAAATAAAAAAACAAAACTCCAACTAATCTAGGAGGAATAAAGCCTGGAAGTGAGCCATGTGTTTCTGCTATTTCTGCTTGTGTTGTGTACTTCATCTCTGCTCTGGCTGTGAGGCCTGGGCACTGGAACAAACTTTAGAATCAGTTCCCTCCCGCTGACTCCCACACTGGTGGAAAAGAAGCCAGTGTAGTAAAGCAGTCATGTGTGGTGATGAGAATTTTGTCCATGGGGACTGCATGCGAGGGTTCTCCCAGCTAGTGTGTCACATGTCCATTGCATTGGCGAGCATGAGCTCTGGTGGGAATACATATGTGAGATCATGTCCCTCAAAGGATCTGATCCTCACCTTCCTGCAGTCCCGTGAAAAAAAACTTCCTGCTTAGGAACTCTTTAGACTTGTGAAGAAGAATTTGCAAGTTAGATGCACCCACATTATCTTGAAAAATTTCATACAGGAATACCTTGTTGTGTATTACCTCAAGTCCAGACATAACACATAAAGAGAATGGAAAAAAATAGTGACGGAGAGAAAATAAGACACTTTTGCTGGACCTCTGGGTGAAATTGACCGTCACTTAACATCACAGATGTGCAATGAACATAGGAGCTAATAGTTGACAATGGTGATAAATTATTGTTTCTACCATACAATAACAAATTTTAGTACTTTTTAAATAATCCTTTTGATAAAATTTTGAATTCTTGAATCTCAAAAGTTTATTCTAAAATGATAAACTTTTACTTCAGATTAGCTTTATAAGAATATATATATATATAGTTTCACTGAGTAGCCCAGGCTAGTCCTGAGCTCTGGCTCTTCCTACCTCAGCTTCCCAAGTGATAGTGACAGGCATGTGCTATCTTACCTAGCTTTAAAATCTTAACATTTGGTCACAGTGTATATATGGGACATCCCTTGCAGCTACAAGTGTGTAGCCGTCTGCCTGGGTGGGCACTGTTCTTTGAGGGTGCTAAGACAGCGGAGTGGGAGGTGTGTGTGTGTGTGTGTGTGTGTGTGTGTGTGTGTGTGTGTGTGTGTGTGTGTGTGTGTATCTGATTGTCCACAAGCTGACATGTCAAAACTCACAACTGGAGTTGACTTGATGGATCTGGGTGCCCGGAGCCCTTGTTTCTGTTGTGATAAGTTTGCCTCCTTGAAAGACTGGGGAAGGAGCACACTGGCTCAGGCTTTTCACTGTCTGGGAGCATTGCTCGTGCACGGGGTGTGTGATCTTGTCTTGCGCATTTTAAGTTGGTGAATAAAGCAAGGTGAGCTGGTAGGAAACAAATAAATGTGAGAAGATAGGACCATTGCTTTCTTTCTCAGTAGTCATTTACTTGATATTGTCAGTATTTTTACTTCTGATCTTAGTTATAGAGTGTAAAAATTATAAACTGTTTAAACATCAGAATAGTTTGTCTTTTTGTATAATTGTGGATCTTCAAGTTCTAAGTTACATTTTTATTTCTGTGTGTGTGTGTGCTTGCGCGTGTGTGCGTGTGTAACTTGTACCATCCAAGTCTCATGTGGGCTAGAGCTCCAATTATCAGACTTGGCAGCAAGCAGCTGATCCACTGCCCCATCTCATAGGCTCCCAGTTTACAGTTTGTTTTGTTCAGGTTTAATTCTTTTTGTTGGTGGGGATTGACCCAACCCTCACAAATGCTAGGCAAGCTCCTATACCATCTAAACTGCAACCTTGGTTCTTAATGATTGTGTTTCATCTTCTGCCTCTGTTGATAGTGTTCATCCCAGAATGATACTGAATGTGTCGTTTGACTTTGTTCTTGTTGTTTTCCACAGCAGTATAAATTTCTGCGCTTCAGGAGATCTCTCCTCCTACTAGTTAAACATAGCTGTGTGGAATCCCTGTTCATGGTCAGAAATTTCTGCATTGTGTATTATTTTTTTGGTAAGAATTTCTTCCTTCTAATTTAGTATATTAGCTCATCGTGTAGAAAAAGTCAGTTGCAAAGCTAATTTTTATTGAATTAGTATTTTTTTCATAGTTGTACTTACCAGTTATGGTAATTTCTATTAAAGGGAATGTGATATGTGCATGCAAAATACTCTTTAAACAGAGAGCTCTCTTGTGTTGCCACATAAAATAAACTGTGAGTTGTTATGTTTACCTTAGAAAACCAGGTGCTGCACAAGTCAGCCCTAACAGAACAGTGGCTGTGGAGGCTGAAAGCTGGGAGAGGGGAGGAGCTATTCACGGGCAAGTGCTCAGTCATACATAGTGAGGCAGTTCTAGATCTGTTTGCACAGTAGTCAGCAGACGGCTCTGTGCTGCACAGTTAAAGATAGTGAGCATGCCAAAGTCAGGACAGCTTGCAGGAGTTGGTTCTCCTGCCATGTGGTTCTGGTGGTGAGCTCTTACCTGCTGGGCCATCTTAGCAGCTCAGAAGCAGTACAACCACATATTTTGCTCTGTGTGAGTGGGAGGCAGGGATGAGTGACTGCTCACCTGTGGACTTGAGATGGGCTGATAGAATTGGTCACAGTCCATGGTGTGCATCTGTTAGCCACATGTATTGTGTACGGAGAGTTGGAAGTTCTGCGGATAGTAGAGTCCATCACAGTTGACTTGCCGCTTTGTTTTTAGTGTCTGTGGTGATTGAGACCTGTATGCCACAGAATTGTACCATGGAAGGACTTCCAGTATTTAGAAATTACCTGTTTTTCATCTCCATTCCTAATCCCAGCATTTTAACTGAGGTCTCCCTGTGTACTAGAACCTTGTAAGGCTAAAGAAGAGTTGTTATACCAAAAAAAAAAAAAAAGAAGAAGAGTTGTTATTTTTAACTTCTCACATTCCTATCTTGGTATTGTTCTCCTCAGGACATATTCCCAAAGCTTGGATTAGCACTGCTATGGACCTTCACATAGACGAGTAAGCCAAGTCTAATTTTATTTGTTTCCTTTTAAATTTTGCTACTTTCTAGATGCTTTGTTTAGGTTTATCCTTTAATTATTAATTGGAATAAGATCCGTCAGAAGACAGGTGGTGCTTAGTGACAAGAAGGTACCGACTCAAGTCCTGTCCTGTTTGTAGCCAAACTCCACACTACTGCTCACACGCCTTCGCCACTGTGGAAGCAGGTGAAGGCGAGGCTCGTCTTGATGCCATGTCCTTCCTGGCTTCCCCCCATTCTCTTCAGAACTAACATCTCAGCTCCTCCTACTGAATTAAGTTTGAGTGTTCAGTAGCATATTCTGTGCGCCCTTGGGTTTATGCACTTCCCTTTAATCCCCTAAAGATGTGGAAGGTATGAATCTTTTCAATGTATGCTTGAAAATTAAATCATTAATAAACCACTAGGAGCCGGGCGCTGGTGGCACACGCCTTTAATCCCAGCACTCAGGAGGCAGAGGCAGGCGGATCTCTGTGAGTTCGAGGCCGGGCTGGTCCGACAGCCTCCAAAACAATACAGAGAAACCCTGTCTCGTAAAACCAAAAAAAGAAAAAAAAATAAACCACTAAAATTTCTGAATCATACACCTCTATGAACACAGTGAAAGGCTCCTGCCCGTTGTATCTATGATTTATTAAAAAACAAATACACTTTTTTTTTTAGCAAGGTAGTGGTGGCACATGCCCAACACTTTGGAGGCAAAGGCAGGCAGAGCTCTGTGAATTCAAGGCTAGCCTAATATACAGAGCGAGTACCATGTATTTACACAGGCATATGGTTCTCAGAGGAAAAAATACCACATTTAGTTTTCAATACATGTGGCTTCCATTGTTTAAGAATATGGCACTCAGCTGGGCGTTGGTGGCGAACGCCTTTAATCCCAGCACTTGGGAGGCAGAGGCAGGCGGATCTCTGTGAATTCGAGGCCAGCCTGGTCTACAGAGTGAGTTCCAGGACAGCCTCCAGAGCCACCGAGAAACCCTGTCTCGAAAAACCAAAAAAAAGAAAAAAAAAAAAAAAAGAATATGGCACTCAGCTTAAATCCCAGCACTCTGGAATTGAGACAGGCAGATAGATCTCTCTGAATTTGAAGCTAGCCTGTGTACATAGTAAGTTTTAGTCCAGCCAAGGGCTAGTTACAGGATAGCCTTCAAAGCCACAGAGAAACCCTGTCTTGAAAAAACCAAAAAAAAAGAAAGAAAGAAAAAAGAAAAACCACAAACAAATAAATAAATGAGTAAATACAATTTTTCTCATAGAATCTTTTACATTTATATATTTAATGTGTGTATTGAGGCCATCAGAGACATCTTGTGGGAGTTCCCTCCTTCCACTAAGTGCTCTCCTTTTACCACGTGGTCCTGGGGATGGAACTCAGGTGCTAGACTTGGTAACAATGCCTGTACCCACTGAACCCTCTCTCTCTCTCTCTCTCTCTCTCTCTCTCTCTCTCTCTCTCTCTCTCTCTCTCTCTCTCTCTCTCTCTCTCAGAACTTTTAATGGCATAGTGATGGTTTAATCATTAAGTACATTTTGAAAAGATTTACACACTAGTAACATACGATTATTTTCACTTTGCCTATGAGGCAGCCACGATTAAAGGTTCATCTGAGCTTGGTAGGGTTGCATTCCTGTGATCCCAGGACTAACGAGGCTGAGGCAGGAGGATCATGAGTTTGAGGCCAGATTAGGCTATACAGGGAGATCTTCTTTCAAGTAAGCAGAGACCGTAAAGGGTTTAACCTGTCGTTGATATATAAAATTGGTTTTCTCCAATGTGTGTCCTTTTAATTTTTAGTTACTTGACTGTGAAACTTGTATCATGTGTTTAGAGAGTTGAGATTTTGACATTTCTAGATGTTTTGGAGGTATTATAGATTTCAAATTTTTAAAAATAATTTAAGATTATTTATTTATTTATATTTTATGTATGAGTGCTCTGCATGCCTGAAGAGGGCATCAGGTCCTCTTATAAATGGTTGTGAGCCACCATGTGGGTATTAGGAATTGAACTCAGGACTTATGGAAGAGTTTAGTTTTGTCCTCTGCTTAGTTACTAGATGAGAAACCAAATGCATAGGACATTCATTCAGTTATCCTACCTTGTAAACTGGGTCAAGTGAAAGAGGAAAACAGTACTTGATAGAAATTTAAGTTTTTGTTCTTTTGCTCAAAACATACCTTGTAATATTAGGTCAAATGCCTAATATTCTTCCTTCATGCAAGTCAGTATTTGCTTAGAGGCTAAGCATAGTTCTGTCATATATTGACCTTCCCCACGACTACCAAGCAGTGTATAAGATCTTCTTATAAGCTGGTTTAAATCTTGTGTCTGAAGAGTTCTGTGGATAAGGAAAATGAAGACAGGCATAGGGCTTGGATATAGGTAGTGATTTACCTAACAGCGGTGTGTAGATGGCAGTCAGATTCAAAACCTGCTTTGTGATTGTAGAATTTATAGCAGTACAAACTAAATTTCTCAACGATTTGTAGGATGTGAGCTCTTAGCTTCATAACATTCTAGTAGTTCCTAAAATCATTTGAAAAGCAGAAAAAGCCCTGAAACTGTACATATGGCACACGCATGGAGCTGATGTCTGATCCAGAAGTCCTAATTTTTTGAGACTGTGGTAGCCTTGAACTTCAGATTCTCTTGCCATACCCTGCCCCCTAGTCATGTTTTAATGGGTTTAAAGAATTAAGCCACGAATTACCAATAATAAGCTTCCACCTGTCCTAAGTAGTTAGGCTTATAAACATGGCTCTGACTTCCACAGTAAATGATACTGCAGATTTAGAACTCCAGGGACCTGCAAGGCCAGTTCCTGCCAGCAGTTTCCCTATGACTCCCCAACATCCCTCTGAGGAACTGTTAGGGAAAGAGCTCTAGAAGGGTACCAGCAAACAGGGTGTTCTTAGTATGGAGTGCTTGTCTTTGCTGTGGGAATTAATGATACTTCCTGTTTTCATAGGCAGGCCCACAGGCCTCTTGACACAATAGGTGGCCTCCTGAATGTCTCATTACTCTACCATGTTTGGCTGTGTGGTGTCTTCCTCTTGATGACTTGGTACATCTCATGGATACTCTTCAAAATCTATGCCACAGAGGTTAGTATTTGGGGTTTTTTGTTAATACTATTGCGTTTCAGAGTATGGAAAGTTGTGCTTTCAGAAGGTCACTGCTCAAAGCCGTGTTACTTAGTTGGTTTTCAGTTATATCATTCACTCTGTATTTCTAAGGAACACAGTTGGTGCTCCCAACTGTATTTGCTATGCTTTGCCTAGAGCCTGGCTTTCTTCCTGGGTTTTTGAGTATGAGGTAGGCCTAGATTTCAAGTTAATTTTATATGCTGTTGAAATAGATACTATCAACATTTAAATATATGGTTATATAAGATTTGCTTTTTGAAGAAAGTCTTGATTTATTAAGAAATTCTAAAAATTGAATTAACCTGAAATTCTCATAAAAATTTTTTTAAAAAAAGATTTATTTTATGTATGTGGGTATTTTGCCTGCATTCATCTGTATGTGCACCACATACATGTCTATTGCTATGGATCCCTTGGAACTGAAGTTGCAACAGTTGTGAGCTGCCACATGGGGGCTGGGAATTGAACCCAGGTCTTCTAGAGGAGCAGCCAGTACTCCCAACCTCTGAGCCATTTCTCCAGCTCCACAAAAAATTTTGCTTTAAATTAACTTATTTTTATTTCATGTGTATTGGTGTTTTGCCTGTTTGTGTGTCTGTGTGAGGGTGTTGGATCCCCTGGAATTGGAGTTACCAGGTGTGAGCAGCCATGTGGGTGCTGGGAATTGAACTCAGGTCTTCTGGAAGAGTGTTCAGTTCTCTTAACCACTGAGCCATCTCTCTAGTCCTACAAAAATATTTTTAAGTGAAGAATTGCATTAAAAAAAATCATCTAGATGTGTTTGTCATACAAAAAAAGTGTTCTATTTGATCTACCATCTCTGTTGTAATTTTCAGTGGCTTCACAGGATTTTTTGTTCCTGGAATTTATTTCTGTTAATAGATGTCAGTTTGAGCCAGGTGCTGGTGGCGTAGGCTTTTCATCCCAGCACTTGGGAGGCAAAGGCAGGCGGATCTCTCTGGTCTACAAAGCTACACAGAGAAACTCTGTCTTTGGGGGGGAGGCAAAAAGATGTCAGTTTGATAAAATGGGGACAGTGACACTTAAGAAAATATAGTTATTTTTACTTAAAACTTTTATGCATGTGAGTGTTTTGTCTGCATGGATATCTGTACTCATGAGTGCAATGTGGCTGGAAGAGCAGCCAATGCTTTTAACTGCTGAGCCATCTCTCAGCCCCCACAGTAACATTTTTTTAAACAGTACTTTTGCAAGGAGCATGGAAGAAGTTGATTTGATTGTATTTGTCTCTCTATAATCTCAGTCAGTGCTCACTGATTATAGCAAGGTCATGAAAAGAATTCCTTTCACATTCTTTGTATCTGATTGTATCCAACAGGCTTATGTGTTCCCTGTTCAGCCGCCATTTGCCGAGGAATCGGATGAATGCCTCCCGAAAGTCCTAAACAGCAATCCTCCTCTCATCATAAAGGTACCAGAAGTGTGCAGCTTACAGTCAGTACCTTAGCCTTATATACAGAGTTAGAGGTAATAGTCAGCACAGCTAGGCATTTAGATAGACTTTTTGAGGACCTAGAACAGGGGTTCTCAACCTGTGGGTCAAATGACCCTTTCCTAGAGATTGCCTAGGGCCATTGGAAAACACATGTATTCGTGTTATGATTCATAACAGCAAAATTACAGTTATGAAGTAGCAATAAAAAATTTTATGGTTGGAGGTCACCAAACATGAGGAACCGCGTGTTAAAGGGCTGATGCATTAGGAAGATTGAGAGCCACTGGCCTAGAATATTCTAGTACTTGTACTGTAAAAATGACCTACTAATGACATTTAAAAAAAAATCTTTGTTTGACGTGATTAAATACAAAAGTAAAGTACCCTGTGTATGCACTAGCTATGTACTTATGTTCTTGGATGGCTTTGAACTCCTAGATGTATCCTGTACTCCTGTTTCAGCTTCCTGAGTAATAGAGACCACCAACCTGCACTGCCACACTCAGCCGAGCTAGCTAACTTTTCATAAAATTTGTACAGTTCTCTCAAGCATAAAATGTAGTGGTAGTCAACTAAATACATAATCTTCACAAAATATTCCTGGCAATAACCCAGTAATACTGGTGAATTTTTACATTGCTGGATCTAGACACACTTTTATTCATGCAATCTTTGTAGTCTCAAAGATAGTGTGCTTAGTTGTATTTTGACATATGAATTACTGATCATTCTAAAATTACAATCATAAAAATTAAAGAAGTTTACAAATCAAACTAAATGAGAAAAATTGTTTTGATTGAAATTTCAATTTGAGATTTTAAAGAAAATCTAAATATAACGGGATATAGCTTATCCTGCTAAAAGATCATAGTGCCTTTTTGAGACGGGATCAGGCTATGTAAGCTAGGTTGGACTTGACTTTCCAATTGTCCTGCCTAAGCCACCTTCTAAGTGCTAAGACCCAGGCATGTACCAACATGCCCAGCTAGCGTATTACTTTAAAAGTAGTTAAGAGAAAACGGTTGGAATTAGCTACTCATTTGACTACTTACTAAATCTTTATTAGTAGGCATGTGTCGGGTACTGCTGGTTGCATTGGGTAGAATGATGACTTAGATATAGCATAGCCTAATGGAAAAGGCAGACACGTAACACTGCTAAGTTTATACTGGCAAGTGTATTGGTGCCACTTATTCCCTTTGGTTCCAATACTAGGCAGCTTCTCAGAAGCAAAAATGCTTTGGAGTACTACAGTAAAGAGGCTTGCCAGGGAGAATGTAGATTTTTTAGTAAAATGCCAATAGCTGTGTGTTTTATGTGTTCGGTGCTGCCTTTGTGTATCTAGGTGAGTAAGATAATGCCCTCATTCTTGTGGGCCTCACAGGGGCAGAAGAAGCAACAGGCAGAAGTGTCACAGCTGAGAGCTGTGGGTGTGTGGCAGGGAGGACAGAAAGTTCCAGAAGCAAGCCGTATTGGAGTTTTCCATTCCAGAGCTATAAAAATGCAGAGCTCTGTAGTTTTTGTGTGTAGCTGGGGCTTATAGTGTATAGGGAGGTAGAGGCAGGAATTACAGAGATCCAGAATAGAAGGTTGTGGTTCTGAAATACTGCTTTTTTGTAAAAAAAAGTTCATCTGATTTCTCTTTAGATATGTAATGAGTCTAGTTCTTGTGCATGATTTTTTGTTGAAGCTTTAACAGTCTTTCTTTTTCCCTTTTAGTATTTGGCCTTACAGGACCTGATGTTGCTTTCTCAATATTCTCCTTCTCGAAGACAAGAAGTTTTTAGCCTCAGCCAACCAGGTATTGCTGAGAGTAGTAGATTTAATTTGGCACACATATGCGTGCGTGCGTGCGTGCGTTCATACAGGTGCTCAAGAAGCTACAAACTTTTGGAAGAGAGGTGTATTTCTTCCACACCACACATCCTGAGTCCTTAGATGAAGAATGGACTGACTCTTACATGACTTAAGTATTACTCTGGGTAGAATTTATGTCACCAGGAAAAGCATTTATTTATTTTTGGATATTCATTTCTTTCAACTTCTTAAATCCTGAACCTGAAGAACTTATGTACTAATTGTTTTAGCAGCCAGGAATCTTAGGAACTGGGTGGCTTCATTCCTATATGGCAGTCAGGACTGGAGTAAGGGTTCCTTTTTTTGGCTCCATGAACAGAGCTCTCTGCTCCTGCTAGATTACTCTACCTCTCTTATAAGAAAAGGTAGGCAGACACTGGATCTGATAGTGGCTGAGGGTGCCCTTGGCCTGCCTGACTCTACTATGCTTGCTTGCCAGGCAGCTCAAGACTGACTTTGCCAGGGAAGTAGTCCAGCCCCAGCCCCAGCCCCAGCCCCAGCCTCAGTCTCAGTGGGAAAGAGCCTGGGTGACCTTTCATCTGCTTTCTAATTAGCTCTCTATTATTTTGCTAAGCTCATCAATTCCCAGATTGTAAAAGGATCATATGTAGCTAAATGTGATATGGAAATGAAGCCGAGTTATATAAAAGTCTAATTGATCCAAGCTGCTCCCTTTAGTGGTGAGGAATCCAGAGCTGGTGCTGTAGAGGACAAGCATCAGCAGTGCTTTTTTCCAGTCACACGTGGACTCATCTTCTGCACGTTGTTTTCCAGAGATTCAAGCAGCTGGCAAAATAGTGTGTGCCCTTCCAGAGAACTTCTGTTCTGGCACATGTGATTAAAATTTAATTAGAATATTGTGCAGTTCCTAGTTGTTCTGTGTTACCAATACAGCACATCAGTCTACTGACGGGACTCTCGTGTGTGCTTGCTGGGTGGGATGGTCCTTTTTCATGTGTAAGAGTAATCCACGGGATGGGACCAGTGATATGAGATGGGAGAAGTTTACAGTGGCTTCTGCTGTTCTTAACATGTAATGGAGCATACGCAGTCTTTACATGATAACTCGGTAGACAAAGGTCTTGGAAAATCAAAGACAGATGAGAAGAGATTTTTATTTTTTTAAAGAATGAGAATTATTAGTTCATGTTAAGTAATACAATGGCACATATGTAAACTCTCTGAGTATGAAGAATTAAGTTGTAGAGTCTGGGTCTGTTTCTTTTTGGTATGTGGTTGATTTGGTTTTTGGTTGGGTTTTTTTGGCCTCCATTTTTAATATAATTTTTAAAAATATCATTATCAAAGAGCCAAGTCAGTCCTAGAGATATAATAGCAAATACAGATTCTCTGTCACTTTTTTTTTGTTTTGTTTTTTAAATAATTTTCAACACAGTTCTTCTTGTGGTCCAGGGATTAGCTCTATAGGCCAAGCTGGCCTTCAACTCTGAGATCCATCTGCCACGCCACCACACCCGGTGTAAATACTGGCTCTTAGACAGTCTCTCCTTTTATCTATGGGACATGTTCCAAGGTTCCCAGTGGTGCCTGAAACCATGGGTGGTGCTGAGCCCTCTGTGCCTGTGCTTTCCGATGTGATAAAATCTTTAAATTAAGCACCATAAAGGATGAACAGCAATAAGAAGAAAATAGAACAACTAAAATAATGTACTATGATGAAATTGATACTCTTGTGCTGTGGTGCCATTATACAATAAACCAGGGGTTTTTGAACACAGTATTTTGATACTGTGACAGTCAGTCTGATAACCTAGATGACTACTTAGTGACAGCCTAGCAGGTAGTGTATATATAGCATGAATACGTCGGGTGTGAGGTGGGTTAATGTCCCAGGCAGTCAGTTATTGTGGAATGGCACTAGATTAGATAATGCTATTCAGAATAGCTGATTTAAAACTTAACAGTTATTTTTGAGGTTTTGTGTTTGCTATTTTTGGATGGTGGTTGCCTGGGGAAAGACAGAGTACAACTGTGGATGAGGAGGAACTGCTATAAATGAAAATGTAAGAAAGCACTGGGAGCACCTAGTGTAGCAGCTACTGAAGCATCATTATGCATTCTGTCTCTCATTGTTTTAGTTCATTCTCCACAGACTAAGCAGTCTTCAGCATGGCTAATGAAGTAACTCTGGTTTTTGAGAAAAACATGGCCTAGTGCTTGGCTTAATTTTGGCAACCAGTTTGGCAGGTTTTTAAGGGTAAAGTCAAAATTTTTATTTGCAGACTTTTGAGCAAATTGATTCAGCCAAGAAGTTCTTAAATTGCTGTGTACTAGATGTTGTGAGTAACAATAACAGCTTAACTGAGAAAAGTGGGTCCTGGAGCAAAAGCTTTGTATAGAGGATACAGGATTTTTTACATTTTAAAAGCTGTTGTTTGTCTATCCTAGGTGGACATCCCCATAATTGGACTGCCATTTCGAGGGAGTGTTTGAGTCTTTTAAATGATATGACTCAGAAACTGGTTCTCTACCAAGAAGCTGCTGCTACAAATGGGAGGATGTCTTCGTCATACTCAGTGGAACCCAAGAAATTGAATCCTCCAGGTGACTCCTAGTTCTAAATGAGAGGGGGGAAACATCTGTTTCCTAGAGAAGTGACAGTGGTTGATCCCTGGTTATTTGCATGTGTGAGGTGATGTTTAGGTGAGATTGACTCAAAGTGACAATACCAGACAGATATCATATTAAACCAAGACAGGCAGTCCTTAGTTATCATTGTAGATTGAGAAGCAGCAAATCATTGAACATTAAAAGGTACATTTTTTTTTCATTTTCCAGTTAATAAAATGATACAGCCTGTTGTGGCTCATGCCTTTAATCCTAGCACTCAAGGGCTGAGGCAGGTGGTTCTCAGTGAGTTCAACGCTAGCCTGGTTTCCAGAGTGAGTTCCAGGACACCCAGAAGTACCACAATAAAACCCTGTCTTGAAGTCATGTGATAAAAGTTTAGCACTTTCAATGTTTTTCTTTCTTTTTTCTTTTTTGAGACAGGGTCTCACTGTCACTGTGTATCCCTGGCTGGTCTGGAACTCACTTTGTAGACCAGGCTGGCCTTGAATTCACAGAGATCTGCCTGCCTCTGCTTCCCAAATGCTGGATCAATGTTTAATGTTTTATTGCAGTTTTATCTACTAAAGCAAAATCCTAATGCAGTGTATTTGTCTGCTTTGTGCCAGATTGTTGAGAAAGTTCCTCTGACTGTGTAGCATACTACAACTGAATTGGTTGTACAAGCTGTCTTTTTGTTATTTTTTCTGCTGATAAATTGACTCAAGATCCTCACATAGGCTAAGAATATGTTCTGCAACTTAACTACTTGAGTCCAATATAAGATGGTTTTTAATGAAGCTGTCTATTGGGTCTGTCAATAAATATCCTGGGAAAATTAGTCTTTTTCTTTGATACCTAGGATTGTGCATGTTAGACAAGTACTTTAACACGGAACTACATTCTCAGCCTTGTTACGGGATTCCTGCCTGGGCCCTGTCACCGCGTTAGCCCCAAAAATAACACACGGAGACTCTATTTGTTAGAATGTTGTCGGCCAATATCCAGAGCTTTTCATTGGCTAGTTCTGTCTTAACCCATGACTACTAATATATTTTTCTATAAGGTCTTATCTTACCAAGAACACCAGGCTCATGTGTCCTTTCCTCCCAGGATCACCTGGTGACTCTCTACTCTTGACTACATTTCCCAGACTCCTCCTTGACTCCTAGTCCCACCTATCTTGCTTCATTATTGGCCTACAGTGCTTTGTTTCTCAACCGAGAAGACAAACATATGCACAGAAGGACTTCCCCCATGACAGCTCCCCCCCCCCTTTTTTTTTTAACTTTTCATTTTGACACAGGATCTTAGAAGTGTCCCTGGCTAGCCTTGACAAACTTTAGCCCAGGTAGGCCTTGAACATGTAATTCTCCTGTCTTAGCCCCTTATTAGCTGGGATTATAAGTCTGCCTTACTGGGCCCGCAAAAAAATTAGTCTTTGGTGGGACTTTTTTGGAAAGCATCAGCATTTTTTTTTCCTGCCTGTCTTTACCATAAATTGGATGGGTTTATCCAAGGAGTAGTTAAAATAGGAGCATACAGCTAAACTGGATAGATTCTGGTGCAGCAGTCTGCTGTTTAAAAGTAAAATACATATGATTAGAAAAATGTGCCTTGAAACCAGGATACTGTGGAGGGGAATGAAGCCACACTGAAGTGACAGGAAATGGAAGGTGTCTACAGGCTGGCGAGGTGACTGCAGGTAAAGGTGCTTGCTGTGCAAACCTGAAAGCCTGGCTTTGGCCCTGGAGCCCTAGTAAAAGCAAAGAACTCTCAAAAGTCGTCCCTTGACCTCTGCACATGTTGTTGCTCACACACACACTAATAATGCATAAAACAAACAAATCTAGAACTCCTGGAGTGGTTCCTGGATTACAACAGGACATTGGGACTTAAATGGAAGCCATCTACTGTGCTTTGGCTTAATGACTTAAAGGGGTGGGGTGTAGAATGAGACCCTCTGCTGGCCTGCCTGGGCCTCGTGGTCTCATCTGCTCTGCATCTGTTCTTTTACAGAAGAAACTACTTTTCAGACACCAAAATCTAGCCAGATGCCTTCAGTGCCACCGTTAGTTAAAACATCATTGTTTTCTCCAAAATTATCCACACCTGATGTTTCAAATCCTTTTGGGACCCCGTTTGGCTCCAGTGTAGTGAATCGGATGGCTGGAATTTTTGATGTAAACACCTGCTATGGGTCTCCCCAGAGTCCTCAGCTAATAAGAAGAGGGCCCCGATTATGGACTCACGCTTCTGGTGAGGGCTGTTTATTTTCTAAAATTTGAAGTCTCATAGTTTGCAGGATCAGACAGTCCAAGTTCTCACCTTGTCATTTCTTTTTAATAGATCAGCAAATATCTGACTTTTCTAATCCATCTCCTTGTACCTCTGTCACTGCTGAGGGTAAGACAGTGAGACAGCCCAGTGTGATTTACTCATGGATTCAGAATAAGCGTGAACAGGTAGGAAGATGCATTTGTAGGTTTTGCATTTATATCTTTAGAAGATTAGGAATCTCATGTAGTAATAGCTTTTTGTTTCTTTTATGCTTCAAGTGTCAGATGAACTCATGAAATCACCAGTATTTGAGTGTTTTGAATTATAATGCATTTCACATGACTTAATTCTTTAAGAGATAGTTGGGTTTTAGGCTCTGGGTTAAAGAGCAAGTAAGACAAAGCCCTTCCCATATGTTTATATCATAGTAAGGGAAATAGATGAGTAAGCAAGTATATTATGCTATAGTTCTTTAAATGTAGAATGCCACTAATTGGATTAATCTAAGGGCTGTTCTGGGAACTATTAAGGGCAAAAGTTGCTTCATAGTGTGACATGCTTTCAACTAAGTTGCACCCTGGTAGATCATGTTCAAAATAGGAAAAATATACTTAAAAGAAGAGAAGTTTAATGTTTTAAGTATTATATGAAAAGTAGAGCGGGTAGGAAAGACAGTGTCAAAGGAAGGGGGTATACTGTTTTCTGTGGACTGGTCAGAGGCGTCTCATTGGAAAGCAGCAGGGAGGGTGGGAAGAGTCACAGACCCTCGGGAGGGCGTGGGCTTGGCTTGTTGAGGGAGGAGCAGTGGGAACTGGTGTGCCTGGAGCAGAGTGAGGGACAGTGGTTGGTAGGATGAGCTCAGAAACAGGCACCAGAGTCTCGGCTGCATTTGATGGTGCCGAAGCTGACCTTTTCCCTCAGTGAGATGGAAAACTGCCATATTATTTTGTTCATAGGATGTTATAATGTACCTACATTGTGAAGGGACTTCTTAAATAGTGGGGTTATAATGATGATAGCTGATGCTTAGGGGATATAATATATTTATTTACCAGAGAGAGAGAGAGAGTCACACAAGCTAGGAGTTAGAAGCCAGGCTGGCTTCCAAAAGAGGAGGTCCTTTTTCCTTTCGCTTCCTTTTATCTCTACCTGTGCTAATTTACTTGTCCCTGCCCTCATGGGCGGATAGCTTTGTGGGGTTCATTCCTACAGGGTTGAGGTGAGACTTTTCCTTACCTGACTTTGAATCCTAAGCAGGCATGGAGGCTGAGAGCCAGTGCTAAAACTGCTGTAGTCATCTAGTGGGTGGTGGGTGGTCATGGGGTTGTAATGGCAGCTGTAAAGCATAAGCAAGGTCTGAATACATGTTTTCATACAGATGGAATAGAGTTTGCCTATAATTTGCTTTTGGTGTGCAGGAGAAGGTTCCTTAGGCCCTATAGTAGCCTAGTGGCAGGTGATTGGGGCAATTCTGAAGGAGGAGATTAATAGAGGTGAAGTGGAGAACTTAGGAGTTTGATTTTGGGTGTGGCAACTTTGAGACAGATATTTAGTAAAGCAAGTGAAAATTAGATGTATATCTGGAACATAATATTCTGGGTGATAACGTACTTTTGGAAGTCATCAGGGCATAGACAGCATTCCAAGCCTTGAGACACCGTGTATTGAGAGTGACTACAGAAGGAAAGAGAGCTAAGCTGGGCCCTCGGCTGGCTAAGGGTCAGAGAGATGAGAAGGAAGAGCAAAGGACGCTGAAGGAGCGTCACCTGAGGCCAGGAAAGAACGTGCTTCCCAGAGCAGGGCAGAGCTGCAGAAACAGAAGCAGCGTGGCGTAGGAGTGACAGGATGGCATGGGAGCGAGGAAAGTGGGTAGGGTCGCCAGGTCCACTGTTGGAAGTAGAACTTAGAGTCCCGTATACACAGGCAAGCACTCTACCACTGAGCTGTATCCCATCCTGTTTTTATTTTATTTGGGGACTGGATCTTATAAGTTTCCCACATTAGTTTCAAACTTTCTCTGTAGTCCAATCAGGCAGTAGAGCCCCAGTCTCTGAGGTTATAGATCTGAACCATCTTGACTGAATTTTGACAGGAGTTCTTGGGTAGAGAAAGGTAGGTCAGGAGGAATTAGGAGAGAAAATGGATAGCTCTTTAGAAGCCAGTCTTTCAAGGACTTTTGCCATAAATGGAGAGAAAATGACCAGTAACTGGAAGGAGTTTGTGGGAACACCAGACTTTTTTATTTGTAGCCTGTCCTGCAACTTTTTGTAGACCAGGTTGGCCTTGAACTTACAAGAGATCCGCATGCCTATGCCTCCCGAGTGCTGGGATTAAAGGTGTGTGCTACCACTGCCTGGCAGAATCTTACTTTTTAAAATGGGATAAATAGAAACATGTTTGCTGGTGAAATGAAGAGGTTGGTATAGCATGAAGGAACTGATGAAGCACAGTACAGTCCTGCTAGTTTCTGTGTAGTAATTAGACAGCTTCTGCCTTCTACTTCTCTGTGCTTAGTGTGGCTTTGGGTGAGAGCCTAGCAATGTATAGAATCACTTTCAATTCAGTAGAGTTGGAGTCTGATATAGGAAACTTATTTTCTGTAAATGTCACTTTGTAGCACCTTGTAGAAAATGACTCAGGGATATTAAAGGGACAGCAGTTTTATCAAATTGAGAAAAAAATAGTGTTTTTTTTTTTTTTTTTTTTTTTTTTTTAGTGTTTTTTTTTTTTTAAAGTTCTACCTAAACCTCTTAGATTTCTTCCTATGATTGGCAAGGCTGTATTTGGGTGTCCAGTGCATGTACATGGAAACACAATTAGGGTTAGGTGCCTTATGGTGCTTAGTCTATAGCACAGAGGTATTTGTTTACATAGTTTATTGTAACTATTGTTCATTGCTACATTTATATTTAGGAAACTCTTCTGTAGGAAGAACTTAGGAATGTGTACTATACTTGAGTAGACTTGAAGGTATAACCATGTTTTCTTTTTTTTCCAACTCAGATTAAGAATTTCTTGTCAAAACGGGTGCTGATAATGTACTTTTTTAGTAAGGTAAGAATATAAAATGATGTGTTGAGGATGGGGTGAGGAGATGAAGTTCGAGGCAGGAGATAAGACCTGACTTGTAATATTTACAGATAAAGTCTCAGCAAGCTGCCCCGTGTGACACACGTGTCAGCCCATCATTCCTGGGGCTGGCATCAGTGGTTGTTTGCCTGAGGTGTGGCTGCTGGCAGCTTTGTGATGATTTTCAGCATTGACCTTCGGTGCTGGCTGGCTGGCGATCAGTCAAGCTTCCTGGTGCTTCATGACTTCCTGTTCACATCTCTGTGGCCTATTTGGTACTCAGAAGAGAGGAGACTGAGTTAGATGACTGATGTTGAATTTTTGATGGATTAAAAGATCCCGATTCAGGCCACAAAGTTATACTCTGTGCTAGCATTGTGGCTTACATTTGTAATTCCACAGCACTCCAGATGCTGAGGCAGGAGAATTGAGAGTTTGAAGTGGGACCTGGCAATTTATGAAATCCTGTCCCAAAAAAGCCCAAACATTAAAAAAAAAACAACCAACCCCCAAACAAGCAAACAACCCCTTTAGTTAGCCTTACCACTTGTTTCAGCTGTCCCTGGGCAGTAAATCTCAGTTGCAGAAACTAAAGATTTATTTGTGTTTTCTGTTACATATAGCTGTTTTGTGTTAATGCTCCCTCAAGCAAAACCCTCGTCCACATATAGGGCAGAGTATTTTGCTTTTAATGTTCATGTCTTTACTCTTCTTTCTGTACATACTGCAGTATTAGTGTACGGGCTCATGGAGCCATTGGCACACACAAGCAAAGGTTTTCACTATTCATTTGGACTCTGAAGCCATATATATATGGTGTTGGCAACACCCTGATATGGATATGTGAATATGCATAAGAGCCATTTCAGCTTCTTAACATTGCTTTTTCACTTCAAGGGGAAGAAGAGCTACCTAGTTGTCAATTGCCTTCCCAGAAAACGGGGTAGTAGGACCATCCTTTAGCAACAAGGGTCTAATCCCTCACGAAGAGGATGCGAGTTCTTTGACCTTTACTGCAGTTCTTGGTCTCCAGAGGGGAAACAAGCTCACTGTGTGTGTTTGTGTGTGCCTGCGCTGCACTTACACCCCCTCCTGCAGTTCTAACAGTGGTCCTCTGAGTATGTCTTTGGTCCTTGTTTCATGGAGAAGAAAGTTTCTGTTGAGCAGAATGCCTTTTCCTCTGTAAATGAATACCTTCTTTGATTCTAATTTCTGTAAGAGCTGTTGTGTGGTGAGGAGCTGTACGTGATGCTGTTGTGTGGTGAAGATGTAGACAATGCCGAGAATCTTTGTAGTAATGAGCCCAGTATCCATTGGGTACTTACGGGAAGCCAGCATTCTTGTTCCTCCTTTGGGTTTTGAGATGGTCTCAATAAGTTGGGGTTGGTCTTGAACTCATTCTGTGGCCCACGCAGGCCTTGAACTTCAGATCTTCCTGCCTTAGCCTCCCAAGTAACTGTGATTACAGGCCTGTGCAGCACAGCCCTGCCAGCATTGTTTAGATAGGCCAGTTGTTGCTGCTTACTGCCTTCCCAGGGCATATTCAAGGAAGTCTGGTGCGTTTTCTTTTTATTGGTTTGAGAGTAATAGACACTTTATGAGAAGTAAACCATAGTTACAAGGTTCTTTTCTTTTAAAAAGAGTTTTTGTAACTCTCCTTGAGTGATCCCTGTGCTCATTGTCTGGGGTGGGCTCATTACAAGTAACTCTTACTTTAAATGAGAAACTGAAGCATTTAAGGACCTTGGAATACACAGTAAGTTTGTATGCTCTGTTGTACTTAAAAATTATAATAAGTTATTTCAGTTTTAAATTTTGGAAGCAGCTGTGAGTCTTTTATTGTTATAGACCACACAACTGACAAAATGGGGATTTTTGCATAGGGGACTTTATTTAAATATTTTTGTTTTATTTGTAGCATCCAGAGGCCTCCATTCAGGCTGTTTTTTCAGATGCCCAAATGCATATTTGGGCTTTAGAAGGTAAGTAGTGTCTTGAAACTGTAATCTGTAACTGACTTTAATCAGTTAATTTTGAAGCCTAGTTTATGAGTGGTCACTTCTGGGATTTGGCTCTAAATCCTTGAATTTTCAGATACATTTTAATCTTTGTTTTATATGGATAGTTTTCTTCCTCACTGGCCTGCCAATTCTGGAGACAGCTGTAGCTACAAGCCTAGATGGGTTTTGATTTGAGTAGAATTTTTCTTGTACGTAACTAAAGATGTCTTTCTATATAATTAAAGTGCAGCCAGTATATAGTGTTTACCTTATGGTTACTTACATTGAAATAGAAAAACTTGCTTTTAAAGAAATGTTTCACCTTATAAATACCTTCTTGGTGCTTTAGGAACCCAGGCAGGCCTGTCTTGATCTTGAAAAGTGTTCTCATGGCTGTCGGGTCTCGTTTGTTTGTATGTTTTGTTTTGTGATGCTAAGCCAGTTGAACACTATTTCAGGGCTTGTTCGAGCTTTTGTCCATTTTTGTATTACAGCTTTTCTCTATAGTTCTTTTTGTAGCCAGCCTTCAGTCTTCTCAGATAGACGTATTCCATGTGTGTTTGTCTAATTTAACTTCCCTGTTTTCTCCTCCCTTTGAGGTCTGTCTCACTTAGTAGCAGCATCATTTACAGAAGATAGATTTGGAGTTGTCCAGACCACCCTCCCAGCTATCCTTAATACTTTGTTGACCCTGCAGGAGGTAAGTGATCTGTCATAGTGTTGGGCATGGGTGCAGGCTATCCTCCAGTTTCTGTTTATTTCTCCAGTCCAGTAACAAACCCACGTTAGAAATTAAAGTCCTGATTCTGTTTTCACCTTTAGGAAATTACAATCTAAAACAGAACAAATTTATCTTATGTATCTCAGACTGGCCTTATTAATTAAGCTCACTGTAAGCCAAGGGTGACCTTGAACTTGTGATCCTTCTGCCTCTATGCTGGAGTAATAGGTGTAAGCCACCATACTCCATTTCACACTCAAGTTTTATGTGGTGCTAGAGATCAAACCCAGGGCTTCATATATGCTCAACCAACCTTTTACCAACTGAGCTACATCCCCAGCCCAAGAGCTACTGAAAATGACCTGTGATTGATTTCATCACTCAATCAGGTAAGTTCCCTATTGGCTCAACAACTAAGGTCACCAGGTGCCCATCGCAAGGCTGGGCAGTTGGTTTTCACCACCGGCCTTTTTAGTTCTGTGCTTACAGGAACCAGAAACAAACAAATGAAAAAACATACTTCCTGCTTTCCAGAAGGCTCTCTCCCTCCCTTCCTTATTTCTTTTCCCTTCCTTTTCGTTTTTAGAAAAGGTCTCACTGTGTAATCTTGAACTTGGTGGCTTCAAACTTTGCTTCTGAGAGCTGGGACTAAAGGTGTGCATCCTCATGCCCTACAGGCTTCCTTTCTTTTTTTCTCCTAGTTTTTTTGTTTTGAGACAGGACCTCACTAGATAGTACTGGCAGCCTGTAAATCGTGAGAGATCTGCCTGTCTGCCCCCTCAGTGCTGGGATTAATGGCAAGTGCCACCACGCCCAGCCCTTCCTTTCTTAATTTAAATGATTTGTTTTACTCTACCTCTTGTTATTGTGGCCATGGGAAGTATAAACAAAGAGCTTAGACATTTAGAAATAGTGTTTGTAGGAGATGCTGAGCTGACCCTGAAGAGTAACAATTGTTACATCATTCAGTCTGGGGAACCTTTTAGGAAAAGAGAAAAAAGCTTGCTCCACAGTTGAGTTGTTTAAAATTTAGTTCATATTACCACTTAAGAAGTCTTAATAGGGCTGGAGAGATGGCTCAAAGGTTCCCAGCAACCACATGGAGACTCACAATCATCTATAATGAGATTTGGTGCCTTCTTCTGGCATGCAGGAATACATGGAGGTAGAATGTTTTACACATAATAAATAAATGTTTTTTAAAAAAAGAAGTCTTAATAAAACCCCTTCTTATTATTAGTTTGAATATTCTCTTTGAATTTTTTTATTTTGGGGACTTTTGTGATAGGGTCTCATTAAGGTAACCCGTGTGGTCCAATAAAGTCCTAATCTTCCTGCCTTTGCCATCCAAGGCTGGGATTATAGTTATTCACTATCCACTCCCATCCCAACATTGCCTAAATATACAACAGGAGCAACGGAAACTTGGCATGTTTTCTGTCCTCGAAACATCTTCTGATTACAGATGAAGGAGGCTCACTGGAACAGGAGTGTACATCCGAGTTTATACTCAAACCTCAGAGAAGGTAGAGCTAGGACTTGAACCTAGGCTAGCTGCAGGGTATCGATTGTGTAGAAACCTCACGAAGAGCAGCAACTCACATCCCTCATCCTTCTTGACCTTGTCTACCATCGTGTCCTGGGATTTGGTTCTCTCCCACATAGGATTCTTGAGAGAATGACTCTATCCTTGAAACTATTTGGCTCATGATCTATAGTATGTTATATTTAACTTGTGTGTGTGTGTAATAGGAACAAAATTCTTGGCACAGTGCTTAACTATGCAATGTATCTTAATATTTGTTTAATTTCCTTAGAAAGTACCAACTGGAACCCATTGAAATTGAGTGACTGATGCTGCTATAAGTGAGCTAGATGACCTCACTGACTGCACAGAGACCTCACTGCCCTCAGTACTCTGTTGCAGTTATTCTGTGCATACCTCCGCCACTATCGGACTTCCTACTTCTTCAGAGTTTACTAGAAGGAGATCAGTCTGTTTATATGGATTGCAGTTGTTCATACCTTTGGGTGGGAGGAAAATACTTTTGAAGGGCAGGACAGAAAGAGGCGAGAGGCCTGTGCAGTTGAGTCAGAAGGACAAAGAACAGGACCAGGGAGCTGACACTTCACTTGTGAGAATTAAGATCCCTTCTTTTGTGAGTGTTGTATCACAGACCCTTTTGTTGTAATCACGGATACTCTCAGGCCTGCACTCAAACACTCCTGCCTGCTGAGCCATCTGAGCAGTCCCATAATGTTCTTAAAGTCCTAGGGTAAGAAAGGAAATGAGTCTTTGCATTTACAGTTCCATTAATTAACTGGGTGGTGGTGGAGCACATCTTAAATCCCAGCATTCGGAAAGCAGAGTTATCTCTGAGTTATGGACCAGCCTGGTTTACAAATGAGTTCCAGGATAGTCAGAGTTACACAGGGAACCCTGTTTTGGAAAAAAAAGCCGAAGACAAGATTCTAGTAATTAGAAGCTACAAACCTGTGCTAGAAATTATGAAATGTACAGAAGGATACACTATATGACCAATATACCTCAGAGTACATATCTGGGTGATCGAGTGGTTCCTGCCTTGGGAGGTGTGGTCAAGTCACTTGACCTCTCTTAAGTTGGTAAATGTTTGTTCTTACTGCTGCGCAGTCACCACTCCTGTGTTGTAGGACAAAACCATATGAAAAAAGGAATTTCAGATTAAAAGAAACATTTTCCCCTACGTTTCCAAGAACTTTTGGTAGTGCTATAAGGAAGCAGTCTAGGAGACAGCACAGGACCACTCCACATTCATATCCAGGCTTCACTACTTTCTGAGTGGCCAGAAAAACAATTCAGTTCTGCTTTCTGAGATCAGTGTCTTATTCATAAATGGAAATACATGTCTGAAATGCTTGGTACTGAAAGGGTTTCAGATCCTGGAGTTAAGGGAATAGCTCAGACAGTAAAGTGCTTTTCACACAAGCATGAAGATGTGAACTTGGCCCTCAGCAACCGCAGAAAAGCCAGAGATGGTGATCAGCCTGTCTAGTCACTGAACCCCAGCCCCCAGTGAGAGGCCCCTCATAAAACAAGGTAGACAGTGGCTGAGCTTGACTTCTGGCACACATGCACACAGAGTGCTTGCTGAGGTTTTTCAGAGTTGAGAATATTTGGATAGACTTTAGTGGTTGAGGCTCCCTAATCTGAAATATCCCCAAATCCATTTTCGAGCACTTCAGATTTCAAAACATTTGAACTTCAAAATTTTAGATTGGGCTATTCATAATTCTTCACCTTTCAGAATGGTAAGGATTATCAGAAATAACTATAAAGGGTCTAGAGGTTTATTTAGGAGCTGAGCATATGGTAAGTAGCAGGTACTGTTAATGGCAGCAGAGCTTGTCATGTGTGATTGCTTAACAGATTGCTATTTGAGATAACACTGTTGAAGCACTACCTCAGTTGCTGGCACACAGTAATTGTAGTCCCTTATTTTAGCCAGGTCATCAGTACTGAGAGGGCTTTTAAGCTACAGGCATTTTGTCAGCTTGGAGACATTTAGCAGTGTCTAAAGACACTTCTGATTGTCTTTATTTTGCTTTTGCTCATGTGCAGCTGTGTGGAAATTTAAGTGGGCAGTTACTTTCATAATAGCAGCCTCTCTGTAGACTTCCTTAGGCCCAAAGTGTAAGAGGTGTTAAATTTTTCCCCAAGGGTATTTTGTCCATCTGTGTGTTGTGCTGGGTATCACTGCGTACTCTTCTTCACCAGAGATACTTGATAGTTGTGTGAGACCCTCCTTACGTCATCTGAGTGGAGAGCAAGGGCCACGTACAGTGCACAAGACACAAGTGCTCAGTGGATGCTTGTGCAGGTCACAGCTGATGAGTGTTTTAGTTCTACTGCAGGTGGTCAGTGCATGGGTTGTTGTCAGGCACCGTTGCCTGTGCTCAACCTGCTCCTAAGCTACCTTCATGCATGTGACCATGGTTGCTCCTCACTGCATGCTTTCATTGTACTAGGCCTACTTAGTCACTTGAACTTTTATCAATTTCCTATTTTAAATCACCCCCCCCTCTTTTTTTTTTTTTTTGGTTTTTCGAGACAGGGTTTCTCTGTGTTGTTTGGAGCCCGTCCTGGAACCCACTCTGTATACCAGGGTGGTCTCAAACTCACAGAGATCCACCTGCCTCTGCCTCCCGAGTGCTGGGACTAAGGCATGCACCACCAACGCCCGGCTAAATCATTCCTTTTAACTTAATTATCTAAAAGAAAACAACTTGTTAAAAGTAAAATGTAAAATCTAGTTTGGCTTCCTGTAGATAGAATACAGGTTGAATACACTATGGTATCCTAAACCACATCATATATTTTAGAATTCAGATCATTCTTTTTTTTTGAGGCGGGGGGGGGGGGGAGTTCGAGACAGGGTTTCTCTGTATTGCTTTGGAGGCTGTCCTGAAACTCACTCTGTAGACCAGGCTGGCTTCGAACTCAGAGATCCTCCTGCCTCTGCTTCCCGAGTGCTGGGATTAAAGGCGTATACCACCAACACCCAGCCTCATTCTTTTTTTTAATGATTTATTTTTATGTATATTGGTGTTTTGCCTGCATGTATTTCTATATGAGGGTGTAGAATCTCCTGGAACCTGAATTCCAGGTAGTTGTGAGCTGCTGTGTTGGTTCTGGAAATCGGACCCTGGTCATCACTCCAGCCTCTGAAAATTCTTTTAAGTGTACCATTTCAGACTTAAACATGCTATGTTACATTCCTTAGATCCCTTAAGAAGGAAAATGAGTATTTTTTTCCCCATGAAGTAGCTGAGCATGTGTTGTGGGTGGGGTGAGGAGATGAGGTCTATAAATAACCTGTGTCAGCTCAGGTCAGGCTTTTCTGCCAGATGAGGGAAGTTCAGGTCAGTTTTTGCCACCAAAGGAGCTGTAAAAGTTTTTAGTTTTCAGGCTTTTTTGTTTTGTTTTAACTTCAGATTTG